CCATTGTCACTGGGACAAAAAAAAATTACAAAGACTCATATATTTCATGGAGGAATAAAATATTGTTTATACCTGTTTCATTCCTGTTCCTATATCAATATTCAACAGCTGTTGCATGCATGTGTTATATTTACTCTTTTTTATTTTCTTATATGTAGAAATATATGTATATATGTAGAAATAGAAATAAACAAGGAAGACGCTGTTAAAAAGTGAATCGAAGCATTGGTGAGGGCTATTCATATATAAATATCTCTATATATCTATATCTATCTATATATATCTATGTCTATATATATATCTATGTCAATATATATACAGATATAATAGATATACCTTTCAAGATACAGAGGTCAAAGGGCGTCATCATAACATAGGTATTAGGGCCTAAAATCAGCGCACGTTTCTGTATTCGTTTTGATTTTTAGGATTCTTGATTTATTAAATTGGCATTCCATACGGGGGGCAGCATATTCAATGGTAGGGCGTACGTATAATAGGTACATTTCGCAAAAGGGTTTCATGGGAAATCCGAACCGTTTTACTTTCTATAACTAGCAATCTGGTTCAAGGCTTACCGGCTTACCCTTAACGCCAGTAAGTCCAAGTGGATGTTAATGGGAACACCTGTAAGAACAAGGTCAGCCCCTGAACTAGGTTTCATTTAGGAGGTCAGAGGTCATCCGCGGCGTTGAGACACCTTTTGCTGTGCTCCCACAATTTTGCTCCCTGCACAAGTATTCTTTTTAGTTTCGACTTTTTTTGCGTTTTCTGAGTTGGCCCAAGCATACTCTTTACGATATAGACTAAGTTTCATCACAAAATTCATAATCAAGGCAAAATAAGCCCGATTGATTTGTCGCGGCGCGCAATTTCCGGACGCTAAGAACAAATTGGCCCTGATTACGTGCAGCTGGCAAACCGCACTGGAGCACCCCATGGCGCTGGGCTTGTCGGGAATTTTTGCTGTTAACAACATCACACTGTATGGTGATCCCGGGACACGCAGAACAAGGAACCAGACTTCAACCGACATGTATTCATTACTGGCCACACTCGTCCTGCTGTTATCCGGAGACGTCCACTCAAACCCAGGACCAATAGACTTAGGACTTGCTAATAAAGGACTGCACATCGGACATGTGAATATCAACAGCCTTAGAAACAAAGTACATGAAGTAATGGACTTGTGTAAAAACAATATGCATATTTTAGCGGTGTCAGAAAACCACCTTGATGATGGTATGTGTAATAATATGCTGAGTATCCCAGATTATGTCTTGGTAAGAAAGGACCGTAATGATAAGGGTGGAGGTGTAGGCTTGTACATAAAAGACAATATTCCTTACAAACTTAAACCAGATCTAGAAATCACGGAAATTGAGGCGATATGGGTGGAGTTACATCTTCCGTACAGTAAGCCTATTTTGGTAGGGTGCATGTACAGACCACCTAGCGCAAAAATAGAATATCTGCAAAAGATCATACACCTGCTGGACAAGACTACCAACAATGGTCACTTACCTAACACAGTGTGAGTAACTGCTTCCTTGGCTTCATCAGCTGCTTCCTTCTGTCCTCGTGGGTTTCGCCCCCTATAGCAGGACCCACTCAGGAAGGCGGGGCAACAGTGCTGGCCAAACACTGCTAGCCAAGGTTCTTCGGGATCCACTCTCCATCTGTGCTCTTGACCCAGAGCCATCGGGATGCTCTCTCTGCCTCCTCTGCGACTCTCTTTGTCACTTCCCTCCTTCTTCTGCCCTTCACCCCTACCGCTCCTAACATCCTCCATGTTGACTGGCAGATGAAACCTCTCGTTCCCACCTCCACGGGGAAGCACATCGCTCTCCATCCCTTGTCTTTACATGACTGCACTAGGTCTTGATACTTTAGTGCCTTCCTCTCATGTGCCTCTTCCACTCTTTCCTCCCATGGGACTGTCAGTTCAATCATGGTCACTTTCTTCGCCTGCTTTGACCATAGGACCATGTCTGGTCTGAGGTTTGTTGCCACTACCTCTTCCGGGAAGGTCAGTTTCCTATCTAGGTCGACCTGCAGGACCCAATCATTTGCTTCAGTTAGAATCCCTCCTTCCTCAGTCTTCCTCCTTACACCTTTCTTCACCTCTCCCTCCTTCACAAAGCCTATGAACTGTGGCCCCTTTCTGACCTGTTGTCTCTTCCTTGTTCTCTCTTCTTCTAACACTGCCGCCAACACCCTCAGGACTCTGTCGTGTCTCCACCTGTATCTGCCTTGGCTTAACGCCACCTTGCATCCTGACAGAATGTGGCTCAGTGTTCCCCTCTTTCCGCACAGACCACAGCTCTCTTCCTCCTGCATACCCCATCTCTTCTTGTTCACTGGAGTGGGGAGTAGATCATACACAGCCTTCACAAGGAATTGTGTTCTCAGGGGCTCCCATCTGTGTAGCTCACTCCACATTACCCTTCTGTCTCTTACTCCTTCCCACTTAGTCCACGCACTCTGGACTCCTTGACTGACTGCCTGTGACCTTCTTCCCTCCTCCTCCCTTCTCCTCACTTCTTTCTGAACCATGTCCCTCCTCTCCTTAGGCCCTGCAGTACTCCATCTTTGGCTCTCTGGGTTTCCAGCGCCCAATCCCAGTCTTCCTTGGGCCACCACCCCTACTATGTCTCGGTGTCTGAGGTTGCTCCTGGCCTCCTCAACTGCCTTCTCTACTGACCACTTCCGTCCTGTTCTCAGCACAACACCTGCTTTACTGACATTCTCGTCGCTGCTACTCTCCAAGGCCACAAAGGCCCTTGTCTTGCACACCTTGAACTCTTCCACTGCTGAGGTGAACGGGAGTTGCAGTCTGGAAGTTCTGCAGTACAGCCCGATTCTAGTGAAACTTGGTGGTAGGCCCAGCCACTTCCTCAGATGTCGACTGATCTTCCTCTCTACTTCCTCTACTGTGGTGAGGGATATATCATACATTGTCATTGGCCATGATATTCTGGGCAGCAAACCATACTGGTAACACCATGCCTTGAACTTTCCTGGTAGTTTACTCTGCTCTATTGCTTTCAGGCCCTTTTCCACCTGTTCTTTAAACTCTCTGATGTTATTCTTGTCACCTAGGGTCAGGTCGAACTTCTTGCCAAGACTCTTTATTGGCTGCTCTGTTACTGAAGGTATCTTCTCTCCCTGTATCTCTAGCTGTATCCGATTGCTCAGCTTCCCTTTCCTCAATACCAGCTTTCTACACTTTCTGGCTTTAAACTCCATCCTTGCCCAAGTGGCCTTCTCTTCTAGACTCCTAAGTGTCCATCTTGCGCTCAACACACTTTCTGTTGTTATTGTCAGGTCATCCATGAAGGCCTTCAACGGTTTCTGTCTGGTCCCTGAGTTAGTTGTTGGCCCTCTACTCTGCTTTACTGCTGGTTCCATCACTAGATTCATGGCCGCTACAAACAGCATCACTGAGACTGTACATCCTGTTATAATCCCTCTCTGCAGTCTCTGCCAAGCTGTTGTTCTTCCATCCACAGTAAACCTGATCTGCAAGCCATCCAGGTACTGGGATATGACTCTGCATGCCTGCTGGGATACATGGTACTTCATTAGGGCCTTCTTGATCAGCTGGTGTGGAACTGATCCATATGCATTTTCCAGGTCTAGCCATACTACTGCGAGGTCCTTCTTTCCCTGTTTTGCTTCATGGATAAGCTGTGTTATGATGCTTGTGTGTTCAAGACACCCAGAAAAGCCCGGTACTCCTCCCTTCTGTATGGCTGTGTCTATGTACTTGTTCAGCAGCATGTAGTTAACAAGCCTCTTGGCCAAGACTGCAAAGAATATCTTGCACTCTACCGACAGGAGAGAAATTGTCCTGAACTGTTCGATACTCTCCGCGTTCTCCTGCTTGGGGCAGAAGACACCCTCTGCTCTCATCCATCCTTCCGGAATTTTCCCTTTCCTCCACAGTACTCGAATAAGTTCCTGAGTTTCGGGCACTTTTTATACACCTTGTACGTTATGCCACTTGGGCCTGGGGCTGATCCCGCTCTAGCTTTCCGGATTACCTCCTCTACCTCTGCTAGCTTTGGTTCACTACAGTCCATCGGGTGGGTTGGCTCTGGCACTAGAACTTCCTCTCTCCCTTCTAGCGGCCTATCTCTCTCCTGATCTCCGTGGGTCGTCCTTAGATGTGCCTGAACCTCTTCTATACTGGCAGTTAGTTTCCCACTTGTTTTTGCCCCCAGCAACTGTCTTGTGTATCTGAAGGGGTTCGCCAAGAATGTCGCCCTTCTCCTTTCCCTATCTTTCCTGTTTCTCCTTGCTCTCTCAGCTCTTCCTAGACTACACAGTCTTGCTCTTAGTTCTTTCCTCAATTCCTGTAGGGCGTCTTTCTCTGTCTGTCTTGCCTTCTTCCATCTCTTTCTGAGTGCTCTTAGCTCCTTCCTTATACGTCTTCTCTCTCTCTCTCTGCGATTGGGTTGTTCTTCCCGCCGTTTGCCTGTGCCTTTCTGCTTTTCTCCGAACCTCTCTGACCCAACGCTAAGCACAATTCTCATCATTGCCTCTATCTTCTTCTCAGCTGTTCCCGCTAGCACATTCTCTAATATCCCCTCAAGGTCTTCATCTAACTGGTTCCACTCTTTCTCCGCGTTACTTGGGGGCCATTTGACTTGGCTTTTCCTCGGTTCTCCGTTTTCCTCTGGCTGCGACTCTGGTTCTTCCTCTACCCCCTGACTATCTGGTGGCCTTTCCTCTGGCTCTGGGTCAGTCCTAGGAGTGTCTGCCTGCTGCTTACCTCTCCCCTGGAGGTCTTGAGAACTGTGGTTATCTTCCTGTCTCCTAACCTCCTCCGTCTCACCGAGGGCTGTTTGCCTCGTGCGTTGTTCAAGGTTTTGCCTCAGGCAGCCCATCTTTGTCTGGTGTATTTTCAAGGATTTATAGAACAAACCTCTGCTAGTTCCGCACCTCCTCCACCCACCCTGTAAATCTTAACATCTTTTTTTCTTAGAAGCATCGTAATGGAGATGACTGGCTTCACCACATACAATAATAATCATTCAATCCTCGCCTAGGCAATAATATTTTTTATTGCCTGACTTGTTTAAAATGTAGTGTACTTGGAGGAGAATACCAGTTGATAAATGTGTTTAACACAGAATGATATCAATAGAATACAGTAGGTGAATTAGGAACGCGGTCAGGTAACGTTATTGCACACATTTATACATTATCCACAATCTAGCGAAAAAAAAATGAGACCATAATTTTGCAGGTGAAGGCTTTTTACAAGGCTTGTGTGGATGAATTTGAGAACACTAAACAAAAAGGCTGGCCACTCCTGGAGGTGATACATGGCCTTGCTGGTTGGTACGTACTTGGAGACCAGCCGGGAACAGCAGGTAGGTAAACATGTTTCTAACTTCATCTGTGCTAGTTAATCAACATGTATTGTGTATGGCTTGTAAATTAAAATGTGACAAAGCATTTATGGAAGAAAAAGATTTGTTTATTTCGTTTTCTCACATGTGTCAAAGGTCACTAATCTAATTAGTTATTCCAGAGGAAAATGGTGCGTCTGAGGCAAACAATTTAGTTATGATATTGTGCAGTACTGCTCTACTGTGTATTCTGTTGTTGCAGTTACATCCTGTATTGACTCATTGTTACTTGCCGTATGGCCTAGATCAGGTTTATGCTAACGTTGGCCACGCATTATACTATATGATTCGTGCAGAAACCTGGGACAGAAATATGGCCCTGAAGTCTATCCAGTTGGACTACTGGGTAACAACCTGGTTCAGAATTTACATGAACAGGGATTTTGATGATCCTAAACAGATAATTGTGCAGGTAAGTTCTTAAACTACACATTTGTCCAAGACAGACAATGCAGGCATGTTCCCAAATCAGAGGATTCGGTGTAGATGAAACAATTTCAATATAGCTCATACGCAAAAATGGACTGTTCCAAAGATACCCATGTTGAAACTCTGTGTCTATTTTGATACAGGCTTTTAAGAATGTGTTGGTTAGTTTGTATTTTAAGGGGCAATTTATACTCTCGCTAGAAGGTTTGTTTTCGGTCATTTTAAAAATGATAAAAAATCATTCTAAAAGCGTATATCGAAAAAGGTGTCTAGGGGTATTTGTCAATTCTACCTCCATGCCAAATTTCAAGCCCTTTGGCCACAAAAATGAAAAAAAAAAGAATTCTTTTAATGAAATGACAGGAGAAAAGTCTTTTCAGAACACCAGGAAAAATTGCATGTCGGAGTTGGGTGATATTGTTAGTAAATGTACCATTTCTGCACAAGGTTGATATTGAACAGTCCATTTTTGAATGGGGAGAGAGATGGAATGAAACATTAACTCTGGAACCTGGAGTTTGAGCTTTTGTCGGAATTCTGTATAATTTGCACCTTGTTTTTGCACAGTTCAGAAACACCAGAAATGTAAATAAAACCACAGCAGGTAAATTTTATGGATGACATCCTCTGCAGACTCCACATCTATTGTGATTGGGCGGAAAGACAGGGCGGGCCAAAAAACAAGATCCTTATATTTTGACATCATAAACTTTGTTAAACAAGAATGATACAATCATATATTGTGCTAACATTACCGTCAACTATTACAACATCTATTTTTCACTGAAACAACTTGAAAAGTAAATTTTCAATCATTGTACAGATGGTTTTGATTCAGTGGGAACATCATATGTGCACAACCAACATCACATATAAAAGGAATGAAACATCACTGACTGCATGAAAGTAAAGACAAAACATTGAATCAGAGCCTTGTCTTGTCTTCTCTCTTCATATTTATCTGCCATCTACATTTCGACATCTTTGCCCATTTTCGACATGTTGACCACTGTCAGATGGTCACAATTTTTTTCCAACATCAGGCAAAAATTCATGCACATAATGTCATCCATAAAAATTCCTGGCTGTGGCCTAATGATGCATTGCTGCAAGTATTCTGAAAAGTGGTTGTATCATGGCGGTTGTATACAATGTCTGTCATCACATGAGGATTATGTTGGATGTCGAGAAAAAAATGATATAATGCCCCTTTATCAACAGGAGAAAAATTTCATTCAATATCTTCCTTATTGCGTGAGACATACCAACTTAGATCTTAAGTCATGAGTTGGTTAGATAACGATGAGGATGTTTTGCCTCTCTATCACTTAGTAGATTCTGTCTGTATCTGTATCTGTATAGCCAGTATAACAAATGTACTGCAGCAGGGTCTTGACTTTTGAGTGGGACATAGATGCTTGGGCAGTAAGTATCTGTCATTGTTTTCAGTGACATAGCTACTTTTTTGATCTGCTGTGGTCATTTTTATGACAGAATGACTTGATACCTTTTGATGTTGTGGATGTTTTTTTACATTTTTTTGTAGGTAGCTTGCAGTGTGAAAAAAGAAGGTTAAGTTCGAATTTGGGAAATCTAGTGGCTTTCTAATGTATTGCAACGGCACTTTTAGGTAAAATTTAGCTTCGAATGTAGACCAAAGAGCAGATGTGGGGAGGGGGAGATGTTTATAAGGTTATGGAATATTAGTTGTTCTCAGAGGGGGTAACAGATGTTTATAAGGTTGTTGACTTCTGCCTCGGGACATATGTTCCCATTGCGAGCAGACCCAGTAGACCACAGCTTAGGACTGCGACTCTTTCCAATAGCATGCAAGTCAATGAAACCACCAACATGAAAACCCCACAGTACTCCAACCCCAAAAAGATAGTACACCCAGTATATGTAGTGACGACAATGACAATGACGGCATCGTGACTATGTCAGAAAATTTACGAACTCGTGGAACGTATGTTTATGTACTACAACTTATGAACCACAAACATCCTTTGGTTCACGTACCAGCAAAATAAAAGTCAAACTATATACAGCAGCAAATTTCTGACAACCCAAACTCATACATGACGAAGGTATGCTAACTTAAAGTTAAAGTTATCTAATGATAATGCCCCTACTGTACTTGGTGACAGTGATAGTTTCTGAACACCTCAATCCTTGGTAACTGGGATACTTGAAGGCATAAATCTGGTACTTGAAGGTATGACGACTATTAAAAATGTACTTGTTCTTTCTAGATTGACCAAGATGGCCTGACCCTGCCCAGTCAATGTTACCTTGCACCAGACAACTGTGGCGAGGTAATGGTATTAGAATATATTGGGCAACAGAGTTCAATAAGGAATGAAAATTATTATTTTCTCTTGTCTGTTTGTCTCTGTGTGTAGTGAGTATATGAAAAGTATATCTGACAAGTATGTGCATTACGAGGATGTCGGTTTCATAATCTAGGGCCTCGGAAAATGTTATGTTTCCAGCTACCCTTTTTTGGGTTGGCTGCCGCCGAGAGACATAAAATTGACATAGTGCGTACTGGACCGAATCAGAACTGGACCTAATGTTTCTAAAAAACGAATCTTGGTGATTCAGTACTGGACTTACAAAAAAACTTGTATAGTTGATACATTATCCTTTGCTTATATCTTAGCAGTTTTGCATGCTTCTTATGCCATTCACATAAAGGTATGGCTGTTTTGCAGGCACTGGACTCCTACAGGAATTATCTGAAGACCACCTCAGTTCTGCTGGCCAGAGATGCTGATGTCAATGACACACAAGTCATCAGCAGGGTTAACACTTTTGTGGAAGATATCATTGACTTTGAGACTATGATTGCAAATGTGAGTACATAACTTTTGTCTTTGCAAAGCTCAAACTTCTTTTTTCATCTAGATTTTATGACAGAACAATAAAAGTTGTAGCATGCAGAAAATATTTTGCATGAATGATATGCAAATGCAGAATGGTTGCTGTGTACGCAGTTAATGGTTTTAGCCTGTGTATTGATTTCTGTAGATCACACAGAGTGCACAACGCCCCCCCTCTCCTGCACAGAGAGATAACAAGATCAGTTTGTCGGAGCTGAGCAGTCAGACCCAGGTAAGACATCATCTAGCACACACCTGCACACCTCAACTTACCTGTCATAGGCCGTGTTTAAGTGAAGTCACCCAAACCGCGATTCGGGTAACTCACATTCCTCACATCTGGTCCACGTGCCACAAACCGTGTCCGATCACAATTCGTTTGAGCTACATTTATTGCTGTTTGATGATAACACGCAAGGTGGCGTGTTATTAATGTCAGAGGTCAACGACCTGCTTGCTGAGGCCCCCCTCCCAGCATATCTCGGCCGAATGCCGACATGGTCTCGTCAGAGGCGGTGAAGCTCGCCCTAGAACGGACACATTATTTGACCATTACTGCTCTTTAAGTTGCTGCCACGTAAAAGTTGGTATTGCATATAAATAAAGAAATATCACCCCCGTAATCCATGACCAGGCGAAGTTTCATTAATCTCCAAGCAGATCTTTTGGAAACCACCTCTAGAAGTGGCTTGGGATCAAGGCGCTTTCAATGTGATTTTGGAGCGTTCAGATAGAGCCACTTGAAACCGGCTTAGGGGTAAACCACATGTAAAGCGCCTTGGGTGACTTCACTTAAACACGGCCGTAGAAATACAGTATGAAGTCACAATATCATACATTGCCTTGTTACAGCCAGTGTTTATAAAACATTAACATTTACGGGTTATCTTCAAACTCTTCACGTGATGACTATTAATGATGTTTTAGTGCATGTTTGTTGTCACTGAGCAAAGGGACTCTTTTTACACAACCAAGCCTTTTATTCAGCCGACGTTTCGGTGACCGTCTGTCACCTTCCTCAGGGTAATTTTAATTGATTCACATTGCATTGCAGTACAGGTGTCGCTGCTATAGATGCATTCCCAAACGAACAATATTTACATATCCACACATACACATGTACATGTATACGTGGTTTTAGGGAACTGTATCTACAATGCGGTCCCAAACGCACAGGAGTTGGATATATAGTTACATAATTGTGGTCAATTATTAAACCAAAGCAGTTACAGAGAACAGAGATCAGATTCCAAAATGCGTACAGGAGTGTATATACGTAATATGTATACACTCATTGTGTTAAATTCAAAACAATAACTCTTACTTCTTAAGAATGCGGTCCCCAAACGTGACTAAGTGTATGCCCCCTCATCCCGCAGTTCATGACAGGAGTAGATTTCATGATCCATACAGCCTCCAACGTGTACATGTCCTCTCTGTCTATCACTTTGGCTCCATCCCAGTCTATTACACAGTTATTACCTTTGCCAAGAAGGTTGGGTTTTCAGAGGCGTTCATATATGTGTGTGTGTCCGTCTGGAAACACGATAACTTGAGAAGTCTTCATATTTGGTAGGTGAGTAGGTCTTGATACCTCGAAATGATTAGATTTGGGGCCACCTGGCGGCTTGTTACAGTACTGCAGCTGAAGTTCCGGTTTTGATAACTCTTTATCTAGACATGCTAGGGTCACGAAACTTGGATGGTAGGTAGCTCTTCTGCATAATCTATGAGGAAAGTCTATAAATCAGCTGCATTTCGTGATGTGACTATTGAAGCTAGTGACATATGTAATTGAGAACGAGAGAAACACAGGCAGTTATTGATTATGTAAAAGACTTAATTTACATGATTAATAAGAAAATGTTATAATTCCATAATGGTAACTACCTGGAATTTCTTACTTGTAGTATCTGAAAGTTAAGTAAAGGTGAACATTATTAAACATAATGTATTCAAATCTGGACCTCATTTGCACGATTTATGAGGAAATGCTCGAATGGCATTCTTTGTTAAGAAAAGACTCTCTTGGTGGAGAATGTGATCAACTGATAAAATTCATGCAAATGAAGATCCTACTTGCACAATCAGGGGGAATAATCTATAAATTATTTTTTGTCAGTCATAATGATTCTAATTCTAAAACATCATTTGGCGAAGGTATGAGATCATGGAACTCTTGTTTCGTAGATACATGTATGTATGAGGAATGCTTTTATAGCAGCGACACCTGTGCTGCTGTGGAATGTGAACCAGTCAGAATTGCCCTGAGGAAGGTGACAGACAAATACTTGTGTAAAAGAGTCCCTTTACTCAGTGGAGATGTTTGTTTCAAATTTCCTTCAAAATACTTTCAATATCAATTTCATTGTGTTGGAGCAGAAATAATAACAAAATTCACACACCTGTGTGTTTTTGTTTGTATGTGTGTTTGCACGTGTATGCGCGCGGGCGTGTGTGATGTGTAACTTTGTGTGACTGTGTGTTTTTACTTAGTAATACACATTGCAGATGTTCCTTCCAGTCTAATATGGCTTTTAAATGCCAAGTTGCAATGTAATCTCTCTTGTGTAATATTGTTACATATGTGACAAATTAATTAGAATCAAGTCAACTTTTTCTTGACACATTATATTTTCAGATCAATTGGGTGGACTTCTTCCATTACCTGTTCCCTTCCACTACTGTGTCTGGTGACTTCCAGGTTGTCTTGTATGAGAAAGACTATGTACAGAAAGTTGCACAGTACATCACCAGCTTTGGCCCAAAGTTAAGGTCTGTTGTCCTTTAACCTTTCCTAAGCATTAAAATTCTATCAGTATTACTTTATTATCTGTTGCCCATTCATTTTTCACAATATAGATTTCATGTGACATTTGAAATTTTATTTTGATATTTTAAGTTTGCAAAATATTTTTGTTTTTCGGTACAAACATCAAAGTTTGAGTAAAAGTAAAAATTTGATAAATTTATTTGCTGCCTTGACTTAAGTTGATCCTTGTTATTACCTCCATAAAAATGGAGGTAATAACAAGGATCAACCAACCGCATTTACGAGTTATGTTGTACACACACAAAAAAAAACAACTCTCTGCAGCAACGTATGAACATCATAGGATAACCATCAGTTTCAAACTTGAACTTGGCTTCTGAAACCGCTGCTCACTACCAAATATCATCAAGATTGATTCACAAATTTTCCGGTTATAATGCATACATATAACTGACAACTGCACAAAAACTCCGCTGCAGTACGATTGGGAAAACCCAGGTGGACCATTTTTGAACTTAAACTACATTTCTACAACAGCTAGAGGCCAAAAAAATATTTGAACTACATACGGACACACCACAGCTGTTCCACCGCCTTTGAGCCGAAAACATCACTGTGCATATATCATGTTAATGTTGTCATTTGCATACTTAATGATGAAATTCAAACGGAAGATAGTCAAAGCCCACATGTACAATATTAATATGTAATTTGATTTGTGAAAATCGTAAATCAAAATTGATAATGATAATTACAACCTTACTTCCATAATCAATGAGACAAATGAAAACCAAGTTCTAAATATTTCATGGAGGTATGAAATCTCTGAATTCTTGTTTGTCTTTGAGAATTGAATCAATTTGTACAACTGTTTTTCAGGTTTAAAATGTACATCTAACGCAATTAACCCCTACAGTTAGTTTTGCAGCAGTGTGGTGGCATTCAGAGTATACACATTATGTAAAATTGTCCTATCAAAAACTACCTTTGGGTATTAATCACTAAGTTGTGTTTGACTAGTTTGACTAGTCCAAACTTCAAGAGGTCAAACACTAGCCTGGTGTCCAGCCTTATTAGCTTTGGTCCGCTCCCCAAGATCCGCTACCCAACAAGTTTCCTGGGGAGCGGATCTTGGGGAGCGGATCAAAGCTAACAAGGCTGGACACCAGGCTAGTGTTTGACCTCTTGAAGTTTGGACCTGAAAGCTGAAAGGAAGCCTCTATGATTGTTAGATGACGAGGTGAATTATAATTTTGCCTTTGAATACTCTACCCTCTCTTGTGCCGTGTACATTCAGGAAGTATCATAATTACCTGATGTGGAGGCTGATTCAGACATATGTGCTGGAGCTGAGTTGGGACTTTGTCCATGCTTATCGGTAAGGGACTTTCACTTGAATGTGAGAAGGCTTGAGGATAGTCACATTTCGTTTTTTTTTAAAACAAGTATATTGAGAGAGAGAAACTACTGTCACATTGGCATATCTCCATCAATACTCTGTTTTTAAAAAAGAACGATTATATATACACGAGGAATATCAATTTCATTTATTTATTTATTCTTTGTTTCAGGCCAAAGGCCCATATAAAAAAGAAGAACAATAACAAATGTATAAATACACGCAGACAAATTACAAACTGTACATACAAATGTTTAAAAAGTGCTGTCAGTACAGGCTTCGAGTAAATACATCTGAACGGTGTACAGAAAGTGCGAAATGGAACGAAATGGACGAAATGGAACGAAATGGAACGAAATGAAACGAAATATGTATGAAGTACGTTGGAACGGCGACGTTTAAGTGTCCGCTCGACATCCAAACTGCAACGTTCAAAGTTTGATGGTATTCTTAGAACCGCAACGTTATAAGATCGATCAGGGTACGTTAAAGGAGTTTCGAGTTGAGTAGTCAAAGATCAGTTTTTTTCTTTGTGTAGTAACTTGTTGCGGCATTAATCTAGCCGAAATGTTTCGTCCTTGTTGTCAATGTTCTGCCTGCCCGCAAGAAGTGTTGCCGATCTCGGAAACAACGTCCAGAGGAAATAATGAGACAAGTACAGAAGAAGTGTTAACTCGCAGGGATGTCAAAAATTTAGCTCCGCCCCAGCCAACACAGCAAAAAGTAAAAAAAAAACGCTGTATAATAACGCTTGCCTCATGCACTTTGGGTGAATTCTGAAAATGAAATTTTATCGTCCAATTCTTTATTCTAGTCCTTACTTCCATACTCAGTTCCGTTTCCCTGTCATTATTTCGTGCAATTCGCAGCGGGTTATTAGCATAGCATATATCGTCCAACGCAGGTTTTGCACGCCGTGCCCACATTTTCAGGAAGAAATTAGCCACACAAACACAGCAATGAATAGGTTCAAGAAATAAAACACATCATCATATAAAGTAAAGTAAAGTAAGTATATTCACCACTCACTTCTGTATTTAAAATTTTGAACAGTTCCGTTTCTTATATTTTGCTATCTATTTCATTTCATTATTGTGCACACGCGGCTGGTGATAAAATTCCTCACCAAGGGGCACACTTTGACTGCTCACCTCAAAACTCAAGTTATTGTTATAATAACGTACCTTATAACATTGTAGTCACTTTATTCTTAACGCACCCTGATTGATTTTATAACGTTGCGGTCACTTTATTCTTAACTTACCCTGATCGATCTTATAACGTTGCGGTTCTAAGAATACCATCATCAATCTTAACGTTGCCATTTGGACGTCGAGCGGACACTAACATCGCCGTTCCAACGCACAGACGGCTTAGCGGCTTTCCTTCATACATATTTCGTTCCATTTCGTTCCATGTCGTTCCATTTCATTTCATTTCACACTTTCTGGGGTCCCCATCTGAATGGCAAAGGGTGTACACAATGCTATTTCTCGATGCGAGAACAAGCGTCACAAATGAGTAGGTGAGTTTGCGCCTCAAGGCGTTGAAAGTGTCGAACGTAAGTGCGCATATAACAGACTGTTTCTATACCACCTATGTTAATTCATCAGCATTTTTAGAGCGTCATAGTATGCTACCTTAAAACGCTGCTGCAGCACATCAACACCAGAGCTGTGAACAATAAATAGGTGAACAATAGGACATAATGCGTTTTACCGCTATTGCACAATTGCTGAATTTAGCCTAAAACTTAGCTTTGGTGTCTTGTTGCATTACGAATAGAAGTACGAGTATCATCAGACAAGTTGTAGGTTACATGTATGTGAACGCCTAAATATATAACAGAAGGAACATAAGCCAAAGCGGTGCCATACAGTGTGGCTGAGGGAGTTTTGCTACATTTGTACATACTATTAGATGTAGTCGTGGGCATGGGAAATACATGCAGTTGGTTTTCATATTATAAAAAAGAACATCGGCTCCAATTATATATATTAGGCTTTGTTGTTTGTTGACTATTGAAAATATTAAAGATATAATGACTTTTCATAGCATCAATCATAATGACTAGAATTAAGTTTGCTAGCAAAATTGATTGTAGTTTACAGTTTAATCACGCCACCTTGGATTTTGACTGAATAAATGGTTTATTTAGAAGTATATACAATACACTGACACTAGACTCACAGGCAACCTTACTGGATGCCTGAGTTGCGCTGTGGTCAACACAAGATATCATTAAAATACGGAAACATGCTATCATAAAATGGTATTATTAAAACATTATTAGTTACACATTACCAAAAATCGTATAATTGATTATAAATCCTTTGCTTTAAACATTACGTATTACACAGTTATGGAGTTGTATTGTTGTATTTTGAACCAGTTTTTGGCGACGCCTCATGGGCGAGCCTATTGTGTGCAGTTTGCAAGAATTCTAGGAATTTTTTCCACAGGCACAGGATGTCAACAGGCATGTCTGGAATTTTGCTGACATACATCTTTGCCCAGAGTCCTACACAGTCCAAATTCCTACAAACCCCTGGGGAAACCTAGCTGGGGATGACCAAAATTCCTGGGCTTGTTCACTTATAATACACACAGGGGAGGGTGGGAGTGATCTACTGAACTGTACTATATGATATCTGTCTAGACTTGAAGGCATCCAATGCAGTTTTTAGGGCTTGAAAACCCGATTTTTCAAAGCCAATATTCTAGTAGTCATTTATCTACATATTGAGTTGAAACCACCTCATGGAGCAAAAATTACCAAAATTCTGACGGAAAATGGTTACTGGAAGGGCCCTTGGCTGATTTTTAAGGTACCTCCCAGAGACTCATCTTGGGGCTTGTTTCTGCAGTTTTACAAGCCCAACGTATGAAATACTGATACAAATGTGCTAATGTATTGACAGTATGTGTCAATATCACAAAGATTGCCTTATTCAGAATATTTCCAGTTTTGCTGCCCTGAAATTGCATTGAATGCCTTTAACAGGTTAGATTAGGTACATGTACAAAATGTATACTTCCAGTGATGCACATGGGATATTAAACTTTGTAATAACGATATACAATAATACCAGTGGTCAGATGCAATGAAACAGATGACTATATATGCTTACATCCATGCAATAACCCCATAATTTCATTGTCAGCCTTGTTGTTGATTAGATGAAAAAAAAAAAATTTAAGCAAAATTTTAATCTCTTTGCTATTACCTACTGAATGCAGAATCTTCTACGAAGCTTTGACGGGAAGATCAGAGTTTCCAGAGAAGTGGAAGCTCTGCTTTGAGATGTCCCACCAAAGACTACGCTGGGCTCTCAGTTCTCTGTATGTAAGAGATCACTTTGCTGATGACAGTAAAGATAAAGTAAGACCTTAGTATGCTATTTGTGTTTTGATCACCTCACCTCATTTCACCTAGCCCTAATCCTTATCCCTATTGCAGTAAGACTTAGTGTTGAGAAGTCTTAAATGTAAGTAATGTTAGTCTTTCTTTTACACGTTTTGACTAAATGCTTTGAGTGTTGCGAGTTGAGCTGTTGAGAAGCTATACGTGGCCAATGCAATTAACTAACAGTAATTTAAATAACATAATCCAAAACAAGCACAAAAATGATGTGCAGTATTTCTGTATGATAATCCCAATGACTACCATAACCTGCCATATGCATCCTTATTGTACTTACTTTCAATTTACCTGCTAATCAAAGACTGAGTCCAACATCTTCTCAATGATCATTTCTGTTAGAAGTATAACAACTGATACTCAAATAAAACCCTCTTTACATGTGTTGTTGAATCCTGGCATAACACACTGTCATTGTCTGTCTAAGAGACATTGAACTGAAAATCACTGTCCCACTGTTACTTGAAACAAATCAATATTTCTTGAAAACCATTTCATGGGGCTCAGGATACCATACAAACATAACAAACTTTAATGTGCACCAAAGCATGTCTGCCTGATTGTGTGTGTGTGTGTGGGGGGGGCATATATGACAGCAATAATTGAGCCCATTGTTCCCATATTGTTCCCATATTGCCCTGTAGTGGTTGCAATTTCTTATAACTACAGGACTTTAAGCAGTGTACATTTTCGGTAAATGTTTATGCAAACTGACAGTGATTGCACTTTTACAAATTTACATTTATCGTTAAATGTCTTGGATTAAAAGAGAACCATACACAATTGCCTGTCACTGAGCAAAATAAGATCTGGCAACTCAAAGTATTAACTGTGACTTTATGCTGAAGGCAGAGGAGGTAGCTGTCAGAGTAAAGAAAGTCACATCAGAGGGCATCTCCCAACTTGCCTGGATGGATACAGACACTCAAGATAGGGCAAGAAACAAGGTAATTCCACAGCAAACCTATAGTACAATCATGTGTGTACACAGTACTCTGTCGTTATGCCACACGACCCCACCAGTTATGGTGAAGTTATGAGGCCGTGGAACTCTTGTTGTGTGTATTATGATTGAGTTTTCCACAGGATTCCGTTAGAATCTGATCTGATATTTTGACATGTAACGAAGACTAACATAATTCTGCACGGTGACATCATGTACATGTACATGTATATCCACCACCCTGCAAAATGCATTCCGCAATTCAACATCATCCAGTTTAATGCACTTTAGAATATCAAAGCGTGCAAATATACGTAAACCGGAAGATAAATGGGAATCAAGGTCGGGCATCAAGGTCTCATGTAAAAGCCGTGACCTGGCAATGGAAATATAGCCACAATTATGATATTCCATCCTGCACTTGTAGATCCAGTCACTTGTAGACCAGATCGGATATCCTGACTGGCTCGTGAATGAGGAAAAAATGAGTCTTTATTACTCTGGGGTAAGCATGAAATAATTAAGGGTTAGTGACCTGCCCCAAGGTGAATATGGTGTGATAAAGCCTTGTCAGTTGCTATAACCACCAAATAAAGCCACTGAGTTAGCGCAGCAAACGAGGTGGCTTTATAAGGTGGTTATAGCAACTGACAAGGCTTTATCACACCATATTCACCGAGAAAGGGCGGGCCATTAACGCTATTATCATAAAGCCTATCAAAACTTACACAGTAAACAGTGACACATTCCTGTATAACACGTATACAAACTTAAAGAGAACATTGTGTTCCTTCTGGAGTCACCTGAGGTCACTGGGGGAGGGTAGTGTTCTATTTGGGTCAAAGGCAGGGAACAGGTGTTCTTATGGGAGTCACCCGAGGTCATTGGAACACAACTTCAGTTATTTTTGGATCTTTTAGAACAGAGCAGTGTTCTATTTGGGTCACCTGAGATCATATGCGGGTGATTATTGGATGTTTAATGTATGGATTGGGATGAATAATGACCCGGTTTTGACATTTCGGTGTCATAAGGAATGTGGAATGGAGCCTTCTGATTGGTCAAAGTCACTCGGCTATATGATAATTAATCATGTTAACTGTTAGTTAAAGTAAATAAAAATAAAACCAGTTGGCAACGTACAGTTAACCAAGGAATAGAAAAACAAAACATACAGTAAATGTACATCATAATTACATTTCTTGTAACACATGTATCTTCTCACTTTCTCCCTTGAAAGAATGAAGTGCATTAGGTTTAATTCATTACTTACTCTAACAAAGAGAATCATAAAGTACATGTATCAATATTTGCTATATCTTAAATACATGTATTTCCTCTTCTCATTGAATAGAAAGGAGTGTTTATTATCATACAGACTGAGTATATGTACAACATTACAACATGTAATCCATTTCCTGCATGTATAGCTGGAGGTTAATGCCACTGACCACTTTGGTAATGCAGTACATACAGCAGCGTTTGAGAAGAACCTGTGGGACAGGCGACTTGCCAACCAGGTGTTGAGAACAGAGTAAGTTGGCTGTACAAATATACACGTCACATAAAAGTTACATGTACTGTAACATACACTAGCTGCTGTTTTATGATTTAATATTATCTAACTTGGTTCCTTGTGCATTGCAAAATCAACACTGTCAGTCACCTTTCTCCTGTTTCCGTCTGAGAGGAGAAAGTGGGTAGACTGACATGCCTGATGTAGTGACCCAAGCAGCCCATAGGACTTGTGCTGGGGAGGCATTGGCCTGAAAAGTTTTGCCAAACGTCGGTAACAATGGTGGATCATTTGCATGCGGGGGGGAAGAATTTAGCTTCGCCCCAGCCAACACAGCAAAAAGTGAAAAACGCTGACAATAATAACACTTGCCTCATGTACTCTTGGTGAATTCTGAAAATGAAATGTTAACGTCCAATTCCTTATTCTAGTCCTTACTTCCATACTCAGTTCCGTTCCCCTGTCATGATTTCATGCAATTCGCAGCAGTTTATTAGCATAGCATATCGTCCAACGCAGGTAAACAGAGGCGGATCTTTTGCACGCCATGGCATGCCCCCATTTTCAGGAAGAAATTAGCCACACAAACACAGCAAAATGTTGTACTGTATCTAATGTTGAATCGGTTCAAGAAATTAAATACGTCATATTATTTATTTACCACTCTTTTCTGTAGTTAAAACTTTAAACAGTTCCGTTCCATATATATTTATATCTATTTCATTTCATTCTGTTCACATGTAAGGCAAGTGGCTGGTGATAAAATTCCTCCCCATGGGCATACCGCCAGGACGGTCGGAGACCACAAAGAAACACGTCCGCACACTCAACTCAAAACTCACTTTATTCTTAACATATCCTGATTGATCTTATGACATTGCGATTCTAAGAATATCATCAATCTTAATCGGACGTCGAGCGGACACTAACATTGCCTTTCGAAAGTCCGAACAGCTAAACACCTTTCCTATACATATATTTTGTTCCATTTTGTTCCATTTTTGTCCATTTCGTTTCATTTTGCACTTTCTGTACACCACATTTGGGATTTTGATGTCAGGGGGGCCGCATTTTAGAAATAGATAGGATGTGACTCATGCATGATGAGTAAAGGAACAATGTATTTTTTCCAAGAAATAGAGTCGTAGGGGGATAGAAGATGTAACGGTGTATGTGTATAAAGGGGGACAAAACCCACGATCAGTGAACATCAGAATGTAGCATGACTCCTACATCTTTTATTCCCGAGTCGCATTGAGTACTTCTCCAACATTTCTAGCTATTTAATGAACTTGTAATAAACACTCATTGAGGTCATTAGCTAACAAAAGGCTACCCGCTACAACACAAACACTTTACATTTGGTGGCATCATTACATACATGTATAATATACTTATGTATAAGTCTTACCAACAATTTGCCTAGGTTCATTCCTTATTAGTGTACATGTATGCTTGTTCCCATGTAGTATACATGATCCAATGACCAAGGACATTTTCATGCAACAGGTAAAGTTAATAAGAAGTAGGCTGATCAAAAAAAGAACCAGTCTGGTATTACCAATGAGCAATGTCAAATGCTTTGATCAAAAGTTGACAAAGTTCAACGTATATCGATCTTTACTTCCCTTCTGTTCTTTACATGTATAGGTGGGACATCGATGTGTATGGGATCACAGCGCACTACCTCTACAACTGGAATGAACTACGTAAGGAAATGACCTGTAGAAGACGTATACTAAGAGGGTTGTTCAATAAAGATTTCTCCTCAGACATATTCCAATTATTGTAGGAGGGTGAAGTTGAAGATGCTTAATATCATTGTGTGTATCTCACTATAGATTACATGTCTATTTTCGTTTTTTAGTTCTTCGCGGTTTCTTTTTTATGTGTACAGCTGTATATTGTATGTTCAAAAGTTGAGATATGAAAAGAACCCCGTGAGCTATGGAGACATGTATCATAACTAGAAAGGTCAACATTTGCTCGGGAGCAAATGCAGCAGATGGCTTCACCATCCCCCATAACAAAAAAGGACCTATCCCCTCCCGCACACAAATGGGCTGTTCCTAAATCACCCCGTCCAAAATGTGCAGTGTTCCAATAGTCTATACCTCCATGCAACAATGGAATCTTCCAACGCCTTCTGCTGTTGGAATCTAACTACGTACTGCGTTGCATCAAGTAACAACACTGGCCTATATAACTTAGTCTTGGAGTTCTGGATCTGTGTAGAAAGAAAGGAACACATGGGAGCAAGATTCTGTGGTGCAGCGACCAGTATAACTGTTGTAGTCTGGAAGCTATCCATTTTTTACCAGAAAAAAATGTGAGTGCAAGGATCCCCGTTACGAACAGATGGCACTTAGGCTATATAATTGGTGGTGACCAAGAGCACCAACCTACCTAGTACAAAAGCATTAAAAATCAAAACTGCAGTTTGATGTAGAAAAATCTTCTCATAGTCATACCATTTCACTGCTAAGAGGGATACATATTGTTTGATGTAGAAAATAGAGGATTACTTATTGCTTGTGTCATGTTTCTTCTCCTTATTCTGACTTTTGGATTAAATGTATTCAACATTTGTCAACAAAATGACCTGAAATTGGCAGATAGGAGGGGCAAATACATGTACCTGCAGATTTGTTTTTTTAATATGAAATCATTAATCAATTTGCTTTTTGCTATTTCCTGACTAAAAAAAACATAATTTGGGATGCTGTGCCTTGCCCTAATGATCTGAATTTTGCTATGATGGTGCATTGGACATACATGTATTCCCACAGAACTTATTTCAGATTTGTCATACACTAGTTTGAAATTGTTCCTTTGGAGATTTGGGGATGAAATTTGGTATGGGGGCAACTTTTGCACTTAGGGAGAAGGCAACTGGTAATATTCCATTTAGTATTTTGAGAGAGATTGTTTTTGAATGCATGGGAGGTCAAATTTTAAAAATTCTATTTTGAGTTGGGTGATAGTCCATTTTTTGGTAGAAGAACTAACCTCTCTGCAAAAGGTTGATGATCATATAGAGCTGTCCTTCTTTGCATGAAGAGGAAGATAGAGTGGAGTATATACTGCAGTTGCTAAAAATACTGTCTTTCTAGTTTTGAATCCAAATTGAATTAACCAACAGTTCATCTTTCCCATAGTTTTCCCGGCTGGCTTGCTACAGTTCCCTGTGTTCGAATCTTCAATGCCAAGGTGTGTACATGTATGGAAACAGTGTATGCAAGGTATGTACATGTATGGAATCAGTGTGTGCAAGGTGTGTACATATATGGAAACAGTGTGTGCAAGGTGTGTACATATATGGAAACAATTTATGCATTAATACCATGCAATGTGTGTACATGCATGGAAACAGTGTGTGCAAGATGTGTAAATCCCGTTTCTCATTATTAGCCATCCCTATGGCCCTTCCCTTCAGCGCTCTCGAGTCACCATGTCTAATGTCATCGAGCTATCAAAATACCATTTTGACAAATGACCCTCCCTTTAAGATTTGCCAACAATACTAGAAAGACATTTCATGCCTTGACTACATCCATCATCATCATTATTGATACGGTTCTTTGCCCATTCTTGACTCTCTACTCTCACTACTGATACCCTTTGTGAACTCTTGTCTGCCACCATGTTGCTCATACACCTTTACATGATTGTATGTAAATGTATTACTGTATTAGAACTGTATTGTATGGTTATTGCTATCCCTGAATTACATAATGGAAAGAAACATTACTTATATGCTGAGTGAATTATATCATAAAGTGATCAATCTTACACTTGTACTACATTTTTACTTTCCTCCACTACTTTATCATCCTTCCGACTGCATCCAACCAACCGATCACACAAACCAAAAACATCCTTCCTCACATAGTGCCTCATATCCATTTTGCACCTATGTATATAGCTACTTGCAAATATACTGTTAATATTTGATCATGTGCACTCCCTTCATATATGTGATGAAACAAGTGCTTTTGAAAAGCCGGCGTTTGCTGGTGTAGTATTTTTGCACAACAAAATCGTATGCAGCAAATGTGTTTTTTCTTTGAAGTGATGATATGACTTTTGATATAAATCTTGCTCCCCTACATACGCATATACATTTTGTGTGTTAGTATGAAGGGGTTTTCATTATTGGCATGTAGGTAGTTTAGTTTAGATTTTATTTTAATAAAATACACATTTTCCACAATGGTTTCAATACAATTCACTCAAGTACACACAAAATCACTTCCACTTGGAATATACAGTTCCTGGCAAATTCTCGCAACATAAAAATAATACTTTTATTGAATAAAAGACCGTATTAAGTACTACTGGTGAATTTTATGACCACAGACTGTCCTGGGTGCTGAACTGACTGTTCAGCTGAAACGCTAAATTTATTACAAGGACGGCATTTTTTTTTATGGAGCTCTAAAAATAAGGTACATCATACATGTACTTCTCGCCCCCGACGTCTACCTTGTTTGCAAAATCGCGGACCACTGTCGACTCCGCGGCGGATGCCAAGTTCTCAAACTCCTACGTACTACATGTAAGTACAAATTCCCATCGGGGCAATAATGATGATCAATCCTCGATCGCCGAGGGAAGGATAAATTTCCCTAAAATTATTACTATCAAGGTCCCCAAGCACGTATTTTGTAGCGTAAATCCGGACATTTTGCGACTAATCTTTCAGAACTTTATCGCCGAAAAGACACTAAAAACAAATAGAAAGCTCGGCACACGACAGCCGCAAGGAAATGCCATTTGACCCCTGACCTTTTCCACCGTCTTTGACTGACCTCCGGGTTTGGCTGACTGGCCGCGCTTCACAGAGCCACTATGTTTTTGCCCGAGAAATACCGCCATTCTGAATACTGTACATGTACATGGACCCGCACACAGGGCATGTACACAGCTAAGGGTTTTAACAATAAATATTACGCACACCAAGGAGGTTCCTTGCGCTCACACATACTAGTAACTGTTACATTACAAATGTATGTCCCCTGGCGAGCATAGGCGGTGCTGCAGGCAATTAACATAATATGTGGCCAGACGAACAGTGCGTATTTTTTGCCAGTTTATGACTCGCGTCAGCAACATTTTAACGTGAAATCATATTATAAAATGTATCCCTTTGTCAGACTTATTGCTGTGTGAGCTTTTTATATTATTGTAGCACAGTTTTAGCGATTCGAGCATATGAGACCGGAAAGGACTGTAGGAATAGGAGCAAGGCTATGGCATAGTCCGATGAACGAACGAAAGATCCAACATCTGTCCAAGGATCGGTCCAAGGTTCCGAGTCGTCTGATTGCGTTTGCGACCGTTAGCGGTCTCAAACGCAAAAAGTCTGACTCAACATTTTGTCATTGCTATACTATATTAGGTGGATGGTGTATGGAGCTATGGGCAGTATCTTGGGAAGGGAGATCATCAACTCTGTGGATGAGTTTGGTAAGTTCTTTGGTGTATTTGCTAGCAAATTTTGCTAGGCTAAGCGTTATTTTAATTGGATGACGTTTATAATTATGTGACAATTATGTGAATATGGATGTAATTTCCATAATTGATGGGGAAATTCTATAAATCAGCTGCATTCCATCATAGGACAATTGAAGCTTGTGACATTGGTAATTGAGAACGAGATAAACACAGGCAGGTATTGATTATGTAAATGAAGACATAATTTGCATAATTGATGAGAAAATGTTATAATTCTGCAATGATAACTGCCTGAAATTTCATACTAATGGTATTTGAAAGTTCAGTGAAGGTGAACATCATTAAACATAATGTATTCAAATTAGGACCTCATTTGCATAATTTATGAGGAAATGCTAGAATGGCATTGTTTATTAATATAAGACTGTCTTTCGGATGAGAATATGATAAACTGATATAATTCATGAAAATCCTATTTGCACAATCAGGGCAATAACGTATAATTTGTCAGCCATGAAGATTAACATCATTTGGCGAAGGTATGAGATTGGGGAACTCTAGTTCATATATAAAATGCATTTGCTGTAAAAATATACATTGTATGTTTTATTATTGTTTTATTATTACCTTCGTCAAGAATTGGAGAAGGTTATGTTTTCGTGTCCGTGTGTCTGTGTGTGTCTGTGTGTCAACAGCATAACTCGAGAAAGCTTAGATGGATTATCTTGATATTTGGTAGGTGGGTAGGTCTTGATGAGAGCTCGAACTGATTAGATTTTGGGCCCCCTGGCGGCTTGTCATGGTACTGCAGCTGAACTTCTGGTTTTGATATCTCATGATCCAGACATGCTAGGGTGACGAAATTTGGATGGCAGGTAGCTCTTCTGCTGGGGAAGAAGTGACGTGAGTTTGGGCCCCCTAGTTGCTTGCTCTAGAACTGCAGGGGGGTTTAAAGGACAAATGTTTAAAGGAGGATAACTCAAGAACCGATTGATGGATCATCATGATTTTTGGTGTGTAGGTAGCTTGAGTAATGCTTGACATAATGATATTACAATTATGCAAATATGGATGTAATTTGCATAATTAATGAGGAAATTCTATTAATCAACTGCATTCCATGATAGGAAGTTCAAGCTTGCAACATATGTTATTAACAACGAGAGAAACACAGGCAGATATCGATTATGCAAATGAAGACTTAATTTGCATAATTAATGAGAAAATGTTATACATTTTGTAATTGCATAGTGGTAACTGCCTGGAATTTTATACTTGGGGTGTTTGAAGTTTAGTGAAGGTAAACATAATTTAACATAACTTATTCAAATAAGGACCTCATTTGCATAATATATGAGGAAATGCTATAATGGCATTCTTTGTTAAAATAAGACTGTTGGTGGAGATTATGATCAACAGATATAATTCATGCAATTGCGGATCCTATTTGCATAATCAGGGGGATTATTACATTGTATATAAGTTCTTATTCATAAAAGCTAACATCATTTGGCGAAGGTATGAGATCGTGGAACTCTAGTTATAATTATGAATTCCTGTTTGGTGTTCGGTTTTTACCAAGACTCTTTTAAACCTCCTTTGGTTTACCTTTATTCTGAAGGCATTCTATTATAGGGCCTTACCATTAGCCTGTCAAAGTTTGACTAACCATTGAGCCCAGACTTCTCTTGAATTTATCACAAACTTGCTAATAACACTAGTGTGAAGATGTGAATTCTAATTAAAGTTATTTTTCATGGGATGTTCATGAGGCTAATTGGATGCAGTCTGGGTGCAGGGTGACTGCTAATCCCGCCGGACGCACTTTGTTAAGTGAAATTGATAAATATGTACGTTGTGACCATAAAAAAGTAACCTGGTACTGAAGATAACAGATCTTTCAAAAAGTTGAAATTCAGCGATTTCAACATAGCCGTCTCGAAATCTGAAAAGTGACATTCCAAAATTAAGGTGACCAGTGTTGCATGCTGATGATGCGGATGCTACTTCCTGTCGATGCTGAACAAACCATCCCCTTTGCAATACACCAATTTTAGGGATGTTTTGGGCTTAATGATGTGTAGCCAGGTTAACACGAAGGCAGGTGCAGTGTAAAGACCAGGGACTGGCAGAGGTTCAATTTCCTTACCTTTCCAGGTGGCAGATTTGATGGCCGGGGACAGCTGAAAGATTGGTGGAGTAACAAAACTAAACAGGACTACAGCCAACGAAGGGCATGTGTTAGTGGCTACTGGTCAACCTTTTCAATCAATGTTTTTGATAGAGAGGTATGTTTTATGAACATAGTTCTTTCTTTCAAGATTATACATGTAACATTATATGAGAAATAAAACCACAAAATTAAAAAAATGGCACCTGTCTTCGTTGATCAATAAAATTATGTTATAATAAAATAATATTAAAATTTAAAGGTTAATTCTTTTGAATCATTTTCAAAAATCAGAGAACCAGCAAGAAACCAAATTGGTGTGGCCTCAGTATAGTTCTGATTGATGGGTTACTTTTTAGAATTCCAGAATGAAATGGTGTTGCTACCTTTAATACCCCACGTCTACATAGATTCCCATTATAGGAAGCAGGGTTGCGCAAAACCTGATTGCTGAGATGGGTGGTGTGAGGCAGGCATTTTATGTGAGTATCAACTACCAGTAACTGAGTGTTCAGACTAATCAGTATAATGTAGAAGCCTATATACTGTTGAATCAAAACAGGAAAGACATTTCATCTATCAAAACATGTCAGGATGTTATTGACGTCCATCTACAGTGACGTGGATGCTTCTGTGAAATATGGATGTTTTAGAATTATATTTTCATGCTAGATTCGTGATGCAGGAGTGATAAGAGAAGGCGAAATTTATTGCTATTCCAGATCTACAGATAACTGTTGTTGGTAAGGTAGAGACTATACTAAAACAGAAAGTTAATGTATAGAAATGATGCTAACTACTGGTGTTCCTGGGGATGTGGCGGTTACAAAGAAAACAACCCTGACTCCCCAAGCCACAGACCAACTGCGACACGCTTGAAAATTAGCACGTGAGCAGAGGTCACACTACTGGAGGGCCATACTTTTAGCATATTTTATCATAATTTTTATTTGATTACATTTTTTCCAAGTAGACTTTGAAAGGTATGAAACTAAAAGCATTTTGCTCAAATTTTTCAGCATTGATCTACAATGTAAGACCACACCACTAAGTAAGTCTACTGGGAATTTGCTGAGCTGAGTGTACGTCTTTTTTTTTCATTTTTGGGAAAAAATTGGAGAGGGAAATTCTGAGAAACAAGTATTGATTAAATTGGTGTGGCACATTGGAAACTGCTGAAGGTCAAGGCATTGTATCAGGATGTTGGACTGGGAAGAATGTCAAAGAAGGAGTCTGGTCAACTTTTGATGTATTGATAAATGGAAAAAACCTATTTGAAATCAGCCTGACACAATAATGTTTGTGAATCCTGTTTGGGTTTAACAAGGATACCAGCAGTTCATGAAATTTTCTTGTTTTTTATACCACCTGCCCAGTCCAGTAATTTCCTGTAAAAGTTTAAAAGAAATGAATTGTTGTGACACAATAGTTTCCTTTCTGGCATTGATTTAAGGGTAGAAATAAAACTATCAATATTACATAAAACAAGAATAATCTTGTCCCCAGGCCTACAAAAACTGGGTACAAGAGGCTGGAGAAGAACAACTGGTCTCCAGCTTGGACATCACAGCTGACCAAGCCTTCTTCATAGCATATGCACAGGTAAAGTGACTTAGTGTTATTATATAATAGTGTTATATCACTAAGCCATGACCAAAACTAGAGGTCGAAGATCTCATGCCTTTGACAGAGGGACATTGTTCAAGATAAATGAACATGTGTATAATTCTTTACTTTTTTAATAATCAATTTGATTAACAAGATGAAAAACAAGAATCTCTGTACTCCTTTTTTGTATTCTACGGAACACCCTGAAAGGGTTTGCCACAGATTTACAGACGCACCGCCACCCGTGTTAGCCCCCCTACGTTATTTGATTTTTTACTGTTACTGGAAAAAAACTGCTGCAAGAATTCTGCTTACTGTATTATGATCAAAGTGTCACACCAGTGTCGCAAAATGTAATACGATGTGAGGAAAGGAAAGATTCAGGGTGACTGCTAATGTTTAGTGGAGATTTATTGCTGTTTTTATGACGAATACTAGAGTTCGGAGGACTCATGCCTTTGACACTGTGATATTGTTTTAGTGGGTGTTGTGTGTGTGTATAGTGTAGGTTTTTTGAAGATGATTATCGTAGTTGGTCTTGAGGTTGAAGCAACCACCTTCAACAAGTTGAAGATTCTGTTGCTTTTAAACTGGTGCGTTGCTGGGAAGGAACACCAGTAACCAGACTAACAATAATTTAGATGTTGGCCTTAAACAGTTCTAGGGAGGGGAGAGGACTGCCTTAGAGGTGAGATCATTCCAGTCCCGGATTGTCCGGGGGAAAAAAGATGTTTGCCTGTGGAGCATTCTGGTTGGTGGGACTTGGTCACAGGGGTGGGAGTGTCTTGTGATCCTGGTCTGAGTCTTAGGAGTGGGCCTAGTCTCCATGTCGACAACCAGTGTGACCCTGTGTGGAACTTGTAGAAGGTTACCAACCTGGACAACCTACGCCTCTCCTGGAGGGAAGTCCACTGCAGGTCTTCAAGCATGTTACTGACACTGGAGGTCTGTCTATAGCACTTAGTGACCCAACGGGCGGCTCTGCGCTGAACTTGTTCTATCCTTGTAATGTCCTTGGCCGTGTGGGGGTCCCAAACGGGACATGCGTACTCTACTATTGGCCGGACCAGGGTGAAGTATGCTATCTCTCTGACCCTTTTCGAACTGGCCCTCAAATTCCTTCTCAGGAAACCAAGTGTTTTACTGGCTTTATTCACAATGTTACCAATGTGAGCACTCCATGTGAGGTTAAAAGACCATCAAGGCAACCGAAAGCAGATATATTTGGGCGCACGCAGTTGTAAACAACGCCGCCATTTTGTTGTTACTAGTGATAGTAACTCCTAAATACTTGGATTCCTTGACACTACACAGTGTATGACCATGGAGGTGGTAGTTCAAAGGGGCCCTCCTTCTGGTGATGTGAAGTGACTGGCACTTTTTCGGATGAAATTCCATGAGCCAAGTCTGCTCCCATTTTGCAAGGTGTTCTAAGTCTCCCTGTAGTTCTTCCTGGTCCCTTGTGGAGCATATGGTTTTGTGGGCCAATGTGTCATCGGCAAATAGAGGAGCGACTGCGGACAGGCCTTGAGGGAGGTCATTGATGTAGAGGAGAAACCTGACTCTACAGGGACAAGACCTGAGGTTGAGCCCTCCACCACCACTGCTTGCGTACGATCCGTCAAGAAATTCTGGATCCATGTTTTCAGCTGGCCTGTAATACCAAAGTAGTTGAGTTTGTGAATAAGCAGGGAATGACATACCTTGTCGAAGGCTTTGCTGAAGTCCATGATCAGAGCGTCTGTTTGCTTCCCCTGCTCTAGATCATTTGATATGTCTTCCGCGAGCCCAAGAAGTTGAGTCTCACATGAGTGACGGCGTCTAAAACCATGCTGTCCTGGACAGATGATGTCATTCTCCTCTGTGAATGTCATAATTGTACTGGTGACAATGTGCTCCATGATCTTGCAAGGGATGCTTGTTAAAGAAATGGGCCTGTAGTTTTCCGGGCGATAGCGTTCCCCCTTCTTGTAGACTGGGGTGACGGTTGCTGTCCGCCATGCAGTCATGTGGTACAACACCTGTCTCTATGGAAGACTGGAATAGGAGAGTCAGTGCTGGGGACAGCTCAACGGCTAGTTCTCTCAGCAGCCTCGGGCTGAGGCCGTCAGGGCCAGGGGCCTTCCGGGGGTTTAGATTCTGTAACAGCTTCCGCACACCGGGCTCAGAGATGGTAACTGAGCTGCAAGTCGGGGCATCAGACTAGTAGAGTAGTGAGATTTGTTCTCTGTCGGAATTCTGCCTCCGTAAATGTAATTTTCTGACTGAATGCACTTTGGAATTGTTTGTTAAGTGCCTCTGCGCGGTCCTTTGCTTCTGTTTCTTCATATTGGCTATGGGGGTCCCGTGGCGGCTGGTTTGCTCTTCGAACAGGCTTTCAGTATGCGACCAATAGGCTTGACGTAGACGTCACTGGACTAGACGTTTAAGCGCTTTCATCTGGTCACAAACTGGAGTATCACCGGTCTTTTTCCAGCGCTTATAGAGTCTGTCTCTGCGGCGAATAAGACGTCGTGTGGTGTGGTCCACCCAGGGTAGTTATAGTGGTCAGAGAGTCCTTTTGTGAATGGAGCAACATACTATTTCCCAAGCCTGTACCATGTCTTTCTACGAAAATACAGATGGTAGAATTTGGCAAAAAGGAGAGAGAATTGGCCTGGGAAGTCTGGCCGCGAAAGGTTCTTTTCTTCAAAACTTCAAAACAGCAAAAACTCCTTCAACTAAATTATTCTTCTATACAGCCGGCGTAGTTGAAGCGTGCAATGTCCAATATACGTTGAAAACAATTGCACTACAAAATGTTCACACAAAATGGCCAATTGTTGTGATGGTATGTGGTATGTAAGATAAATGGGTTCCTCCCATGAGTCGCAAATTGTATCTCTCTAGCGGGCTAACTCCCTTTAGTGGCATACTATTCCCTTTATTTTGGCCATTTTCTACTATTTTTCCAACGATCCATGGTGCTTGGACCTGGCCATTGTGTACAGTATACCAACTTTGTTCCCGCGATTAAAACACATTCCATATGTTTACACTGGGGGCCACAGTGCTGTCAAATTAGCGATCTTAAGCACGCCCCTGCTGGGGAATGTTGTTTCAACAAACAACCATTCAAAGAAAATGTTTTCGGAAGAAAGCCACTGTTGACAGCTTCCTGTCTGTAACTTGAACCAAAAAAACCAGACCAAGACTTCGCCTGCCCTTAAAATATTCAATCACCAAAAGCCCACTACAGTAACGTACGGACCTCCCACGATGACCATTTCCGAACTTGATATTCCTATCGTCAATGGTAACTTGCTCACAAAAAAATCGTGAACATCCATTTGCGACTTCACGAATTATCCTGCTAACAACAATAACGACCAACACAAAAGGTGCCCATTTCCGAACTTGACCTTCCTATTCTCAACGGTAACTTGCCAACTAAAAATCATAGACAACCATTTAAGGATTCCCAAGTTACCTGGAGTACAACAAAAAACCCAAACACAAAAGGTCAGCTCCAGTCACGTAAGAAAACCCCCCCCCCCGAAGCCCATTTTTGGCCTTGATGATGCCCATCACTAAGACAACCTGCCTGCCAAAAATCGTGAACCTCGGACCATATCATCAAAATTTATCATGCATAATCTGCCAAACAGTGCCAAAATGATTTCATAGCCTTCTCGTCGAAGGCAACAAGACTTGTTTGTTGTTATACTATGTTATTTAATTCGTGTCCTAACATTTGTATTTCTACAGTTAGTATATTCCAAATCTAGGCATCTTGTTTTTTTTTGCCCTTCATGTATTTTATTGCGCTTTCGCATTGAATTTAAGGTCTCCACTGGACGTCATCCATAAAAATTACTTGGAATGGCCTTAGGGAATGACCTGACGCATGTCCAACATTTAGTTATAGGACAGCCCCTCAATTGTAGCTGCTGAAGTTATAGTACAGTCCCTCAATGTAACATTATTCGATCCCATCCCATTATGTGGTTCCCCAGCCATGGCCAGCTGTCAGCTGCCTCCAAGCAGAGGTTGGTGGGGGAAGAGCGTTATTTCTTAACACAAAAGGTCCGCTGCAGTGACAACGGGACCCTACACGAGGCCCGTTAACGAACTTAACCCTGGTCTCAACAACAGTAACCTGCCTACCAAAAATTTTAAACATCAATTTACATATACAAAAGTTATTCTGCTAACAAGCCACAAACAAAAGGTGCACTAATGTAAAGTACGGATTCCCTACGAAGCCCAAACTTTCACTTGACTTCGGCCTCAACAACGGTAATCTGCCTGCCAAAAATCATGGACGTCGAATCATGCCTTCAAGAGTTATTTCGCTTATTTCGCAGTCACCCACAATACTGTGAGACGATTCCATAGTCTTTCTGACGAAGACAAATACACCTATGTGACAGCTAGTAAATAACATTGGACAAAAGTTTAAATGTGCAATCCAACACACAAATGGATTTGTATGATAACCGTGGTATTAGGCAACTGAGGATTTTATGAGTGTCCTTTTGTCTTCTCTTTCTTGCAGACAAACTGTGCAGTGAACACACCTGCTGCCGACTATAGTTGGGTATCCAGGTTCAATGTGCCACAAAACCTCAGGTAAATCTCACCTGACAGGCATGCCCCAACACTATTTGCTGCATCAAGGTCGAGAGTGTGAATGTTGGCTATTATGTGTCAAGTTAAGACAGATTACAAGTTTGTGAATGTTACTTTGCCTCTATTGGCATCCATTGAATCTTTCCTATATTGGGTATTTCATACAAATTACCATCATTAATAGCTTGATAATACGTTGCATTGTTTGGCAGGGTGCAGGGAACTCTTGCCCACCTGAAGGAGTTCCAAGACACGTTTCAGTGCCAGCCTGGAGACCAGATGTTCAGAGAGGACAGATGTGATGTCTTCTAGTCAGACATGGAGAATGGCACAGATGTGGCGCAGTGAGGGTTGTGGGCAGCATCATTGGCTGTACCAGTTGTGGTATAGAGCAAGAAAGCAATCATAGCATGTTATTGTTACACAGTAGTAGAAATTTTGGCTTGCAACTTTACTCTTAGCTAAATATCGTTTTCCAATAGTCATATTTTCTAAGGTTACAATCATATAAGTATAATGCCCCGGTGAATGTATTAATAATTAATTAAACATAACTATATGGTAGTGTGACTTTCTTGTGCTCTGATTTGCAGATATATATATTTCTATTAGCATAAGGCCACAGCAAGTTAACTTTATGGATTATATCCTCAGCAGACTTCAAATCTAATGCGATAGAGAAAAAACAAGACGGGCACAAAAAAAGATTCCTACATTTTCAGATTTTGAGGTCATGAACTTCGTTAAACAAGAAGTTTTCTTAATCCCTGATGGTCTCTGAGTGTATAAACTGCCTACCAGAACACAGGGCTCAATCACTGACGGAGTGACCCATAAACCTAACTGTCCCGAAGCCATACTCTCCCTACATGTATATATTGTGCCATCCTATTACGCCATCTGTTTGTCTCTGAAACAGCTTTGAAAAAAGAGACTATCAAATGAAAGTTTTCAGTAATGGTACAAATGGTATCGACTCGCAAATCAGCTTCTGACTTGCATCTAATTATGTCAAGCATCACTTCAGCTATCTACGAACGAGAAATCACGACAATCAGTCAACTGGTTCTTGAGTTATCCTCCTTCAAAGATTTTTTCAACAAACGAAACACTGTCCTGAAGCGACTTGTTCTGAAACGTTCCTGCAGTTTCAGAACAAGTCGCTAGGGGGGGGGGTCCAAATTTCGTGACCCTAGCATGTCCAGATCATGAGATATCAAAACCGGACCTTCTGCTGCAGTACCAACAAAAGCCACCAAGTGGCCCAAATCTAATCATTTTTAGGTCTCATCAAGACCTACACCCCTACTGACCTACCAAGTTTCATGATAATGCATATTAGTGAATGACTGAATGAATGGTTTATTCGTTTGTAGTAGTAAAACAACAAGAAGCATTTCACAGTCCGCCGACTGTACATATACTTAAAATCACAATTCTTAAATACACTAAAAATACTCATATTTACAAACCGCATTTAACAACAATATTTACAAACAGCATTTAATAGGAATTAAAATTTACAAAAAGGCCTCTGTGCTGCACGATCCTGAAGTATTTGAATCATTCAGCAGTCTAGCAAAGTATGGGATTGGTGAGTTGGAATATCCTCAAAATGTCAGAGTTTCTCGTGTTTCTGTTATGGACATTTCCCACTCTTGGCAGCAGAACTGCTGAGTCCAGTTTCCTTGCAAACTTTAGACACAGGTCAGTTCAGTGTTGAAGTGTCCGGAGGTCAGTGTCCTTCAGGGATGTGTCATAGGTCATGTAACGGTCTCCGAGGATGATGCGGAGCGCTCTCTTCTGGACTCTCTCCAGACGTACAGACTGTGATGACATCAGCCTAGAGTGCCAGACAGGTGCACGATATTCCAACGACATTCCGGACTTACGTACAACTTGGATTAGATTGTCAGTTGTAAGGTTGAATCATTTCAATTTTCTCAACATGAACAATCTGCCATATGATTAGATTTCGATACCATTTTGTCCACATGTGATGTCCTTTTTAAGTTCGCCTGTAAACAACCCCAAGTAAACATGTAACAGGCACGATCTCCAGCTGTGATCCATCAATTGTAAGGACAGGTGGGGCAGGGGGCAGTTTCATCCAACAAAAGACCATTACTTTGCACTTGTCCGCATTCAGTAACCAGTCACTAAACCTGTCCAGCTCACTCTGTAGAACAGATGGTTTGCTGTGGTGGCATGACTCGGCCATAGAGAGGTCATCGACGTATTTCGATGTATTAAGCTTCTAGATCTTGAGTTATGCTGTTCACAGAGCCTGGTTCACAGACAGACGGACAAACACTACTGAAAACACAACCTTCTTGGTAAAGGTAATTAAAGGCTAAAAGATATAAATCAGACATTTGGCTTGCCAATGGACACTTTGACCAGAAACCAAGGAAGACAACAAATTTTTTTTTAACATCAGAGGCATTTTGACTTGATTATAATTATGGATGACATCAGCATGCATGAAGTTTTTGACCAAACTGCCAGCAGGCCAATCCAAATAACTGAACAACTTGTTCATGCCTCTTTGTTGATAAGTGGGTTTTGTTAAGTGGTAAACATAGTGATCAAAAATACTAAATATGAATTACTACAGATGCAATTATACATGAAGAATTGGAAATCAGTTAGAGGAAACTATTCCACCTCATCAGTGGGCTTCAGAATACTTTCCCTATGTGATTGCTACAAAATTTTTGTCTGGGGCAAAGACTCAGAAAAAGATAATACCTATATTTGAGCAAATCCTAATTACTTATGACAAATTACATATTAATAACATGTAAGTTTTACACTGAATTCTATTATCAAACTGAGACTGCCACCACATTCACAGTGATAGCATTTCCCCAACACCACCACTTCAAAACTACATAGCTGCCAATGCATTGACTCCAATATTAAACAACCAATCAGAAATCAAAAGGAAAAGTGTTGCCATTCAATTTAAGTTTGTAATTATTTTACAAAATTGCTTGTATTGGTGAGTTCAACAATATTGTCCCCTTCTAGACTCTTACACGTGAGTCATCCTACCCCTTGTGATTGCACAACACTGGTAGACTACTAGTACATGTACATGTACATGGTATATTTAGCTACTACTGTATCATGATGAAAAGGAATTAACAAAATATGTATATTGCCATATGCCAGTAAGCAGTATCCAATTTACATGGCCTGCCTGTCAGTGTAAGTGTAATCCACAGCCACTTGACAGAACTTTGTAATACCACATGAGTACACAATTAAATCCATAATGCAACTTCCTGACTGTGTATCGTTTTTCTTGTCATTAGTAACTCTACAAAGGAAGTACATTGTTTCAACTTTGTTTCAACATTGAAACATTGTCAAATAAGGCTGTTTAATCTGTTAATTTACAGCACTGGCAATGTTTATTATTTTTCAGGACAAGTAAGAACAACACATCGACAAAAAATTTAAAAATATAACGTTATACATATTGAATAGCTACAATAACGCATATTAAAAGGTTTTCTAATTGTTTAGAAAAAGAATTAAAACCAATTGCACCTTCCCTTTTATCATTTATCATAAATATATCTTGCAAAATGTCCACCCAAATTCGCCAGGCTAGGTGAAATGTTTTATGATGTTTACAGTAAAAGCCACTTAAAACAGAAACAGAATCAACCTGCCAATAATCCTAGTTGTAGGACTTGGCAGTAGTGAATAAGAAAACCTCAACTTTGATAAATTGTACATGTATATTACAAAATTAGCAACTGATTGAGAACTAAAACCTAGTGTGGTCTTATGTACAAATGTACATTATCAACTAAGTAATTAAAATAATTGATTTATATGATACAAAACAACCTATTCATACTCTTATTGATTATCACTATCTACATCTGATTCAGAAAACATGGCGTTGTACAACACTTCTTGTTGGTTCAACAGGTGATATCTGGTTGTCTTCTGTCTCAGCAGATCAAACTTTTTTCTGATAAGGCCTACAGGGAGAAGACAAGATAATTCAGTTCTTTCCCCCATTGCTAAATGACATTCACACTTAATTCTATATGGCATTCACACTCATACGTGTTACATGCCATTCACACTTTCCCTGGTGAATGAAATTCACACTGACTGCTGTCCCTTGTGCTAATTGACAATCACTCTGATACTGAAAAGGACCATCACATAAATACTACAGCTGTCACTCGTGCTGAATAACATTCAAACTTATAACAATGCCCCAAGTGATAAATGGCATTTATAACAGGAGTTCCACAACCTCATACCTTGCCAAATGATGTTAATAACTATTCTGACTGATGAAATTATATATTTTTCTTATTGATTATGAAAATAAGATCATTTCATTTCCATCATGGATTATATCAATTGATCATAAGGCCACACCAATTTAATTTGTTGGTTCTCGGATTTTTTCAGAAAAAATATGAAGTGACAGGGCGAAAAAAAATAAAAATAAAAACAGGCCTAGGCATCCTATTATAGGCTTAAATGCTACATAATGAGCCATGAAGTCAACACAAAAGGCTGGGTTAAAATTTAAACATTGAATTTTGAACTTTTAATCAAACCACTGCAATGATATATGGGAAAACTGTAACAACTAGGAAGAAAAGAACTTTCCTCAACTGTTGGGGGCAAAACATGAGCATTTTTCAGTTGATTCAGGACCAGAATCAATTTTTTTTTTTTTTGCAAATCAGAAAAAAACGAAGAGGCGAATCCGAGAACCAACAAATTAAATTGGTGTGGCCTAATAATCATTCCCCCAATGACAGACTTATTGTAGCTATTAATAGGCTATTCTAGCACTTCCTCATACATTAGGCAAATGAGGTTATGATTTGAATAAATTATGTTTATTGATGTCACCTTCACTTAACTTCCAAATGTGGCAAGCATGAACTGCCTGGCAGTTACATTGTACCACTATGCAATTACAGCAATTTTACAAATAAGGTCTTCATTTACATAATCTGTATATTATGATGTATACATGTACCTCTCATTCTCAATAGACCTATTACATTATTATGTCACAGTTTGCTTACCGCAATGAATGTTGGGACAGTTTGTGGTCAATTGATGTTTATATTGTACAGGTGTGTGAGGTGGTGTAGCGTTAACGTTGCATATACTACATGTTCTTTCATCTACTGTCACAACTAAATAACCCATTATGGCATGTAATGCTGTGTCAACAAAACTAGACTCAGCAAAAATAATAAAAAAACTGACTTTGAAAACTTGAAATGATCTTTATTCTTTAACTGACCATTCTAGGTAAACAAACTGTGACTGTAATAATGTAATAGGTCCATTACATGTCACATGTGTTCCATAGGCCTATTATGGAATACAGCACATTTATAGAAATCCCTCATTAATTGTGCAAATTAGCTCCTCATTTGCATAATTATTATCTTATTATGTCAATCATCACTTAAGTTACCTACGTACTGAAAATCATGACAATCCGTCAGCCGATTCATGAGTTATCCTCCCTGAAAGATTTTTAAACAAACTGCACTGCAGTTTTAGAACAAGCTGCTAGGGGCCCAAACTAAAGTCACTTATTCCCTAGCCCAAGAGCTATCTACCACCCAAAATTCATGACCCCAGCATGTCTAGATCACGAGATGTCAAAACTGGAAGTTCTCCTGCAGTACCTAGGATCCATCCACTGTTTCTCTTGTTCAACCACACACACACTGCCCCAATCATCACACATCAAATCACTGCTTTCCCTGGCACTAATTGGCATTCACACTGATACTACTGTTCTTAATTAGTGCCATAATGTCACTGCTGTCCCTGGTGCTGATTAACTTTTATTCTAACACTGTGTTAAAAGACATTCACATAAATACTGCTGTCCTTTATGTTGAATGACATTCCCCTCAACACTGCTGTCCTTTGTACTGAATGTCTTTCACACTCAGTTCTGCCACTAGTGCTGAATAACACACCTATCCCCACTGCTGTCCCAGAATCAGTTTCACTCTCAAACAGTCTCATACTGATGTCTGGAGCTGTGTGACATTCACAATGTGTATTCATAACAGCCCCCACAGCTACCATAAAGGTTTCTAAGTACCTTTTTTAAGTTTGTACTTCAGAGGACTTACCTGGTATGCTTAGCTTTTCCTTAGGGGCCTGCTCCCAGTCCTTGACTGTTTCCACTTGTT